AACGCCACTTCTTGCACTGCTGTGACGAAAAGTATACCTATTGTTTCAGAAACAGTTTTTGAAGTAATGAAATTTGATACGTAAATGTTCCTACACAGCGATACTGTTGATGAAACCATACATTCGTAAAACTCCAGCTATAGTGAGCATTTTGCTTTGGAGCAGTACTACTTATATACCTCTCAGATGTCGCAGAGAAAAAACAGATTTATTCATTGTTATTATCCTTTTAGGCTGCTCTCCCAAGCAGCATCGTGAGAGATAATTTCAGAATAACCAGTGGTGTCCAACGGCACACAATTGGCACAATGAGGCGCTAAATTCTTAATTAAAACTCTTTGTTGGATGTGAGGTGATAACACCCCCAAGAGTTAGACTTGGTCTTACACATCAACTCACGTGAATAACCGCCAATTAAGACTGATTTTGGCCGTGATGATATTACTTAAGACACTTTCAAAGGTCAATGAGGAGGAATGAAGACAAGATAAGAAAGTTTAATGCATTCCGTTATTGTATAATTATGTGGATCGAAATCTTACTTGCACATGAGATTCTCATTTGTTCAAATTATTTTTTACTCCATTACAAATATTTCATATGTCATTGGTATGATAATAGTGATCTCCTAATAAAGTCTTTATTTTAAATAATTTTACATAAATGATTTATTCGCTGTAGAAACTATTGTTCTTTCACCGTTACCGCATCATACCGCCTAAGAGCAAAATGATAAACTTTTATCAAATTCCTAAATAGCCTTCCCCAAAAATTTCCTACCGATTGGTTCACGGTCTCGCCCATTCACGGTGTTGACTTGCAACGATCGCTAACGAGAACAAACGATTATTTTTCCCATACACATACACATTTCGACTTATTCATTTTGTCGCCAATTAACTCTAGTCTGTCAGAATATTCACCGCAACTGATTCCGACATCGACAAGGCGCAAGTGGCAGTGAAAACTCCCTTCATACATTCATCACAACTTAATAGGCAGAAAAGGCCACACCCGGTGGAACAAGGAAATATAACATAATGATGTTCAAAATATTTGATTCTTATAATTAATCTCCGCACTGGCTGACAAATCTCACTTTTTGTTTCGTATGAACCTATTAGCTGTGACACTTGTTTCTATCTCGCTCTGATCGTTTTGCTTAACCTTCGCATTATTTTAAAGGATTCTAAACCATGTCGATAATTCTAGTAACGAATAAAATACTGTAATTCCAGTTTAAGGAAATTCATTTGTCTCTTAATGGGAGCTGATAAGTAGGACTAACTTATCTCTCAGACCTTTCACGAGAACTCTTCATAGATAAATACCGTATAAAGAATGTGAAACCTGTTATTTGAACCAACGTTAAATGATTTGTACACGAAATCGCCGCTTTCATTCGTTAAGTAAGAGAGTTTGATGTGTTCTTGAAGAAAACCTTTTCTTGGTATGGCACCATCCCAAGAAAATGCGTTTGTATGCATTTTGCTTTTGAATAAGAGACTGATCCCGGTTACTGCTCTTGTTACGAAAACCAAAGCAGTAAGAGGTAATATATTTTTTTTCAATACAAGGGTGACGAAAAGTTAGATTTCCGAGAAGACGCCGTTACTACATATCCATGAATATTGCACAGTACTGCTCAGTCGTGGAAAAGGTTATTTAAGTTACCTTGCAACTACCTCAAAATGAATACCTAGACTATTTCTTATTCGAGACAAGGATGCTGTCAGTTTTTAAGGTGAATTTTTTGTAGCACTCACACACAAGTAGTTTCTTGTAGATTCTCGCGCGCGCAATGTAAAGCTTGTCTATTAAGTCAAAACACTATTAATGTGACATCTCTAGCGAAAACGTTCGATCAAAGGCATTGACCTTTTTTGAACGTCCACCAGTGTAAATGTCTGCATAGTGTGCCCTCTGAGTAAACAGTCACATATCGGAGAGACAAAGAGGAGACCATGGCCAAACGATGGCTCTGGCCAACACACGAGGGACAAAAGAAGCAGGGAAGAAGATACCTCAAAGCGGCCATTTTTAAGTCTAATCTTCTCGTCGTTCCTTCGAGAACATGGTGGTTTACAGAATTTTTTCACAAAGCAACAGCACAATTGGCAGTACTTCTTTGTGCTCCACACCATGGTTCTCCTTGGGATCAACAAACGCTTCTCATTTAATTTTTTTTTCAAGTTTCCTCTTTACTGGCAAACTTATCTACTTCAATTCGACATAGAGTTAAAGCTTGAAACGTCTCGTCTACCTCAATCAACTTTTTTTTTTTTTTTACAATTAATTAATGCAATTTGTTTTTTAGGATCCTCGATTTAACTCAGAAGTCGACAAGACCACTGGTTACCGAACACAGTGTATTCTTTGTATGCCAATCAAAAGTCATGATGGCGAGGTAAAGAAACATTTGGTTATTTTTTCCATCCTTTAATCTAATGACCAGACTTGATGGAGATCAATTGAACAACATCAAGAAAAAAGAAAAAAAAAGGGAAACAGAGGGAAGCCACATCGACAATATGAGAGGGTCTCCAATAAGTTTTTCGGGATCCGGGATTGTGTTTATTTAAAGGCCGGGATCTGGGAATTTAAAGTAAGAAGGGAGCGAGATGCGGGATTGCTATTATGAATGGAACACGGGAATCGGCGATTCTGAGGAGCAGGATTCGGGAAATAATCACTTAAACGAACCGAGAACCGGGATGTCCGTTGACGAAAATTTATGGAGAAATTAATCTTCTCAGTCATGAAAAGCACCAGGCGCAGAGGCTCTCTAGCTCTCTAAGTTGCCAATTTATCAAAAATCCTAAATAGCCCACAGGGTTACGTGGCATCTAAGACTACTGTGTCAATTGAAATACTTAACGGCCTTGAAAAACCTCTAGCAAGTCTAAGAATTATACCGATATGACCTGTTGAGTAACATGACACTAGATGTGAAGAATAGTTACTTGGTTGTACGTCACAAAGATAAACTATTCACGGTGTTAGATTACCCAAGAAACCTTGGAAATGTAGCCAAAGAAGGCTCAATGAGGACAACCCATTGGGCGGCGTACTATTTTACAAATCCAAATTCTTGGTATCCTGTACCCGAACGTGTAGGGGATCCTCTCGGCCATACCATCCATTTCAACCATTATCACCTGTGCCGATGGCACCACAGAGCGTACAGAAGATTAGGGACTGGGCGTAAACATTTGTTGCAGCAGTGCGTCAGCTCTCTGTCAGACAGGAAACAACGATGGCTCTGACTTCGAGGAGCAGCAAGAAAACAGCAGGAAACAAGGCGAAGAGGAAGATGGAATATTGGAGTACAATTCCTCGAGTGATGATGATGACATTCCACCTTTGGAACGAGAGGCTGATTTTTACCTCGGAAGAGGTTTCTACTTCGAAAGAAGTATTCGCTTCAATAGCAGAATTGTGTTCAGTTAATTTTTTTTATCTCCTTTGTTATGGATATATGGGATTGCCGTGACCTTTTGTATTTTATGCACTTGTAGAAATTGTTATTCGTTTCTTTGATACTGACTGCCTGTACCTTTACGTTTGTCCGTGATCGAAGTTTGATGAAAGGAAGTCGTTACCGTGACTAGCGTACGTTATTCCTGCAAGACGTTGCAAACTTCTAATATGAATGATATCATCATTTTGGTGAAAATTGTTACAGAGAAAACACAAAACAAGAAAACAAGAGGAAACACTTATGCCTGATAGTGACCATAGACTTCAGCGGATCAATGCTGGTTAAGAAAATCATCACTGACTGGAAAGGTCCTTCTAGGTTTAGGAAATGGGCTAAGACAAAATTGTATGATCGGGATCGTGATTGGCCGGTATCAACCATCGGGACTACGAGATTGAGAGAAAATTTTAGTCGGGATCGCGGGATTGAAGAATCATATTGGGGACCCTCATATGAATGAGAGTTCTTTACTCAAAATAAATCCATCCATCCATCCAAAATGAAGACGATGAAAACAGGCCCATGGTGAAAAATGCTGAAAACGCCTTTTTCTTTCGAGTGCATTTCTCCTCAATTCATCGCCAACCTCATCTTTTTTTTTCTTCATTACAATACAGGTAATTGGAGTAGCGCAGATCATAAACAAGAAGTCAGGTAAACACCAGTTTACTCAAAAAGACGAAGAGGTAAGTCTTTGAGCCGCGAAAAATGGTTAGTAATACAGTAATATATCAACATAGCGGATGAATTAGCGCTGTTCTTTTCAAAAATTATAATATCTTTCTTTGTCGCTTTCTGATAATTTTTTGAGGTTTTTTTGTTTGACAGCACCACTTCATGGTGCCCCACTTGCACCCATAGCACGTTGTAAATCCGCTTTTATCACTATAAGACTTAAACACAAACTGAACACTCTTTTTTCGCTCAATTTTAGGTTTTCAAGAATTATCTAACTTTTTGTGGAATTGGGATTACAAATGCTCAGCTTTTCGAAATTTCCGTACAGGAGTACAACAGAAATCAGGTATTACGAAGGAACAGGTGCCGTTCAGGATAGATCAGATATGTAGTAAAGTTGACAGCTATGTGAGCTGATGTACGTAAGTTTACTGAAGGTGTGAAAAGTTGGAATTGTTCGGATTTGGTGTTTTGCTGGGCGGGGACATGTTGGGTGCTTACAATACCGTCTTATGAGAGGCCTTGGATTGTTTTCAATCAGGTGGATGGTTTGTTTTCTTCTCAGCGTAGAGTGGAATGGTCTGGTGAAAAGCGTGTGTATTCACCTTTACACCGTTGACGTTGAGATTGTAAATAGAGTAATGAAGAAAAGTAATAACAACTGGCTAACTCTACGGGGCCATTACAGAGCTCTTCAGAGCTCGTGTGGTGCTTAAGTGCTTAGGGCGAAATCCGTGATATTTGTTCTTTGCTATCGCAAAAAAATCAACAACTTTCCTTTAAACCTTTTTGGTGGACTAAAATTTGTCATTTTTTTTGAAAAGCCCTGAATTGACAGATATTGCCGATTTTCACTCACATTACTTTAATTGCACAATACTGTTATATAACCAAATTGTGATCTGGGTTTGCCATGTGGTGTACCGACTGAATTGTAGATCCTTCTTCAACTTGCACGTGGAATATTTGAAGAGCAGAGTAACCTAGATACATGTGTCCATAACATTATGGTTGAGGTACAACAATTACTTGATGTTGAAAGATGTATGGTTTTCCTCAGGGATGAGTCTTGCGAAACTGTAAGTGAATATGAGGCAGATATTATTTCCTCTTGATTGTTTTATGTAAAAGTTAATCTTGTTTCGCTTACTTTACCTCGTTACTGAGGGTGAAAAGCACCATCACAGAAGATAAATAGTCAGTCAGGTAATTAGTGGATGCCAGATATGAAAAATCTCTTCTCACTGATAGAGTAACCTCAGGACTAGATGGGGATTCAGTTGTACTATGCTACTGGAGACAGCAAGTGAGTTAGGAATATCCCAAGCTCACACACGAACACAAAAACAAATGAACCTTATTTCAGTGATATTCTAAATCAACCTTGGTTATACTTCCATGAAATTATCATTTTGGATTTGAAAAGTATTTATTCAAATATTTTTGTCTGCTATTCTGTGGAACCAGTTTTAAGTGGGCACCACTTCTGGTAGAGGTTCTATGGTGACCTCATGTTCAGTGTTATCTGTCTTATATGGCAAAATTTGTCTTATTTGTCTTATGTGGCAGAAAGTCTGAGTTCTCCCTCTCCTGAGTTTATTTTGCACTGTATTGCTCTACCACTGATTCATATGTACATGTGTCCTGCACACAGTCAGGATGAGTAATGTTGTTTACATGAGTAATGTTGATTAGATTAAGATATGTCATGAATTTAAAGCTCAGTCATCTATTTAATGCAGATTTTACATGTTTTGATATAGGCAAAAGACAAAAATTTAAGCCTGTGTCTTCATTAGGGACATGATGACAAATTTTGAGCACAATGACATGTACATTATTCTTTCAACATTTGTGATCCTGAAGATCAATAACATTGTTTGTGTAAAGTAATTGATTGTAAAACTATTTACCTGTTTAATAGCAAGCGACCATATTTTCCAAGGCCTTTGATCTTCACCCAGGAGCTGTTGATGATACAGGACCAAAGTAAGTTCAGTGAAGCTTTTATGTTGTTATTTCCTTTTAATTTTATTTTTTAGACTGAATAGTTTTAAATGAAATGGTAGGATACTGAATTACACATCGCTACGAGTCTGCTGGTTTTCCTTTACCAAATAAGGCATAGAAATAAACATGTTTCCTTGACATGCTAATTGTCATGTCTGAAAACCAAACATAAGATAACTTGGTTCAGATCTATATTTTCTCAAAAACAGTTCTTTCTGATCCTTGGGAAATGTCTCACAAATGAAAGTAGTGCACTCTTTCAGAGCTTATCTCTTTCTTGCAATATAGGTTAAAGTGACAGGGTATATGAAGCTTTTGTCTTCAAAGTTGCCCCCCCCCCCCCCACCATCTGTAGGATGTCATTATTGCAAAAAGTTTGCCCCATTTAACAGAACAAGTTAGCCATCAGAATTTTTAACTTGTTTCCTTAAGCAAAAGAGGTTTCTTTGGAAAATAAAGATTGTCATATGTGGACTACTTCTTAAGCACTGGAAAGTCATTACTTCTTGAATGTGAACTTGTCACACATTGATTTGTGCTCACTTCAGATCTGTTATTTGATCATTGTGGTAAGTTGTAACAACCTGTTTACTTTCCAGAAAGGACTGCCTTGCTGTATGTTTGTGGGTATTTTTTTCAGTTGTCATCTTTTCATTAACCACGTTAGCAGTATCACCCTACATGTACATTGCATAAAGCATAACACAGTTATTCACAGTTATATATTACACCATGAAACTGATTGGAAAATCCACACAGAATTCTGTATGTTAGCCTTTGTTTTGATCATCAAATTCATTGTATGTGAATATCTGAAAGAAAGTTAAGACACCCTTGACATGCCATACCACAGCATGTGTGCCCAGGTATTTACTTAATTTCAGTGTCAAGGATCACTTATACTTGTGTTTGGTTTTTATTGCAGGACAAGTAAAACTCATTGGTCAATGAACACTGGTATTGCTTCATTGGTGGGAAGTTCTGGCAAGGTATTGACCTCCTTTTAACAAGTATGGAGTTGACAAGAAGTAAAGATTTTAGCATCATTGTAATTAAGTGATTTCATAATTATGTGTATATACAAAATGTGTTTTGCTCAACTTCAAGAACTTGAATTCAAGCAAATTGTATCATAGTGAGTTGTTACGTGCACTATTGGAATTGCAAAAAAATAATGAAATTAACAATTACTAAATCATGTTGTTAGGCTTTGAATATTCCTGATGCCTATGCTGACAGTCGGTTTAATCCAGAGGTATGTATAATAAATTGTAATGACCCTAGTCACTCAATAACTGCTGCTTTCATCTTCTCTCTTTTGAATGCCTGGTTGTCTACAATTGCCTAGCCTTGTTTGCGTATATTTTTCTTCCTTCATTCCATTCTTTCACTCTTTCTTTTTTCCTCTCTCTCTCTCCTCTCTTTCTTTATTTAATTATTTATTTACTAGTTATTAATTCAAGAGTCATTTTTGCACACATTTTTGTACAGTATTTGGGAAATTTCAATTCAGTTAGGGCTGGTTTATGATAATCATTAATAGTAAATCTAAACATGCTAAAATGTTTGCATTCAACTTTAAGCCTACCACCAAATTAAAAATTGTCATACAATTGACACAATCTGTTCTCTGATTCAACCAAAATTTACATATTATAAATAATTTTTTCCGTCAAATAAAAACAAGATTAAATTTTTTTTTTCTAAAAAAGGGATGTGTTTCTTTGTTGTTGTCATTGTTTTTAAAAATTATATACTATTTGTTTTTGGTAATGCTGCCTTTGATTTCTTTCATAGGGAGATATTGAAAGTGGATTCAAGACAAAGTCTATTCTTTGTATGCCAATTTTTGACAGACAGCAGAAAATTGTAGGCAAGTACATGCATTTGTTGTTAAATTAAGACACCTCAGTTTGAGGAACTGCTGGAATTTAGTACATCTTTCCTTACACAAGATCAATCACACATTTTCTCAGATTTCCATTAAATCTGGAGGTCAAAGAATGGTGATCTGGAAACTACCCACAATACCTTCTGGGGTTGTCGTATGCACTTCTGTTTTTTTTTTTCCCCATCAGACTTTATCAAAACAGCTATAGCATTCTTTTTATTTCCATCTTAACTCAAATTTTGTCCCAAGTTAATAAAAAACAACATTTTTTAATTCATCATGATCTAGCTTATAATAATGTTTTCATGAATACGTAGTCAGTCATTATGATTGATTTGGTTCGTATTTCTTGTTAAGGGAGACATAGTACTAATTCCACTGAACCATTATTATTTATGTAGGTGTTGCACAGTTGCTCAATAAGAACAGTGGTAAACCTTTTACTGAAGGTGATGAGAAGCTTTTTGAGGTAAAAAGAGTTTTTTTTAACTGACAATATTCTGAAGAGGTCAATTCCTTTAATTTTAGTGTCTTTTTTATGTTACATTTAATTGAGTAATCTTTACCTTCCAACAGGCATTTGCAATCTTCTGTGGCCTTGGAATTCACAATGCCTTGATGTATGAGCAGGCTTGTAAGCTGCTTGCTAAGCAGTCTGTTGCTATGGAGGTACAGTATATAATTGTCATCATCTTAAACCTTTTTTCAACCTTCTTTAAATTAAAGGTTGGAACAGCTTGTGAAGTCAGGGTCTCTGGTTAAAATTTGCAATTACATGTATATGCAGCTGAAGTATTAAATGGAAATTCTTTAAGATCTAAATTTACAATATAGGGTACACTTGAAAAATGCATAAAGGACTGATAAAAGCAAATATTGCCCTATCTCTATCTTGAAAACTATACGAAAGCCTTTGTGGAGCCTTGCAGCCTTAACTTTTAAACATTCATTTTTCCAGGTGTTGTCATACCATGCCTCAGCTCAGCAATCAGAAGTTAATAAAATAATGGTAACTACACAATTTGTTTAAAAAAAAAAACACTTCTTACAATTCTGTTGTTGTTTTTTTTACATGGAAGAATTAATTTTACTCTCTTAAGTTACAGTATCTCCTTTCTGATATACACTGTATATGCACAATGTATATATGGCACCAGGATGCAATGGAAGAATTTTTTATTATACTTCTCTTATGTTAGTTCTGTTATCAATAACTTTGCAAAATGACTCAAATGAATGTGAAAAAATTGATGTGGATATGTGTAGTGACTGTTGAAGGAGGAGTTTATTTGATCAGTACCTATCAAGTTTCTAATATTATTCAAGGCAAAAATCTGTTGTGTTTTTCTGGTCTCCAATACTACTGAAAGATTATGATTGTCTTTTTCAGAGTCAGGAAATTCCTTCTGCTAATGATTTCAAGCTGTACACTTTTGACTTCAGTGACTTTGAATTGACAGATGATGACACTATCCTTGCATCAATACAATTAATGCAGGAGCTTGATTTCATGAATGCTGTGCACACAAAGCAACTGGTAACTTTTGTTGTAAACAATTCATATAATTATATATATATATATATATATATATATATATATATATATGTGTGTGTGTGTGTGTGTGTGCGTGTGCGTGTGTATGTGTAATATATAAATGAATGAGGGGATAGAGTCTACCTTGGCATAAAGTGCTCAATGCTGTGGTAGCAGAGCTAAGTACACATAAGTTAAAGAATTAAAGAGGACCCATTGATTCTCTATGACTCTGAGTTTCGTGCCTAAGTGCTCGTCAGACAGTGCATACATATATGTACATACAGTACATACATACATGCATATATATGCATACATATATGTATGTGTACAAGTTGTCTTTGATCATATTCAGATGTTAATTTGTGCCTAATAAGAAATAAATTATTATTAAATAATTATTATACTAAATTGTTACTGTCTGGTGTGGAATTTGGATCATATTTTATATTATGATTGTATTAAATGTTAAGTCAGTTAATGAATGTATGAGGAATCAAAGCTGACTTGATCTCTCTATTCTGTACTGTCTCAGACACTCTGTAGATGGTTACTGAGTGTAAAGAAAAACTATCGACCTGTCATTTATCACAACTGGAGACACGCCTTTAATGTGGCACAGAGCATGTTTACAATGATTACAGTGAGTTGATAGTTGTTTACTGCAACTTCTAAGGAAGTTTGGTCTTCAACCTTTGTTATGAGGGTGTGATCCATTCATTGGTGCTATTGTCAGATTTTCCCCTTGAAGGATTGGATAGAATATGATAGAGATGACTGCAGTATAAGCTATGGGTAAATTAGAGGTGTGAAGTTTGTTCTTATACAATGTAGAGAATAAATTTAAGTATTTGGAAGTGAGAATTATTTCTGATATTTAAGGCTTCCATGGAATTGGAATAGAGACATGAGTTCGAATGAGCATTTGGCTTAATTTCTTAGAGGTCTTTCAATTTAAAAGTTTTCAGAACTAATTTGGTTATCCTCATCAACAAAGCTGATATAAACATGCATGACTTCATAATTATGTTAACTATGACTGATTTGTGTCTAACATATTAATTTTTTGTTCAACAGACTGGGAACATGAGAAGGTTTTTCACTGATTTGGAGGTGTTTGCTTTGGTCATTGCATGTTATTGTCATGATCTTGATCATCGTGGTACCAATAATGCATTTCAAACAAAGTAAGTGAACAGAGATGTATGTGAAAGCATGGAAGGAAGAAAACCCTTACCATAGTATACAAAAATAAGGAGCATACCTATATACTTCGCTAGAGACAGCATATAAACATAACGAGGAGCAGCGAGAATCACCAAGAGTTTGTGAGTGACAGAGCAAGCTGTTGACGTGGTTATTCCCACGGAAACATGTACCCATGACCTAAAAAAATGTTAATTTACGGCACTATTTCTTTCGTTTCAGGGTGTTTTTTTACGTTTCGGCAGCTACGCCAATTTCGAACTTTTCGCAATGGTCGTTTCGTTTTGTTGTTTTTCTATGCAAACGTGACTTTCTAAATGGTAAGGATGAAATATGACCGGTTTCTACAAGTCGTTGCCAAGCACGTGACCATAATCTGGCCGGTGATGTTTTGATCACTTAACGATCTTTTTCGCTCAAAACACACGACGACTTCCCATTTCAAGGACTGTTTTTCCAATAAATTTCTATCGCATCCGTGTTAAAATATACAAGCATAGGTGTGTACTGAAAAACAAAAGGGAAATTCAAAACTACGAGAAATTGCAAGTAATTAACCTCTTCTGCAACACGCGGGTTTTCTGGTGTAGCATGCGTGTGTTTCCCATAAGTTAGGGCCTGTTTACATGGAAGTGGGGGACCCCAGGTAGGTGAGGTAACCCGCCTAGCCGTGGTCGAAAAATAAAACACGTTTACATACAATCTTACGACCCCGGGGTGCTGAGGTGAGGTTTCCTGAGGTTGTTGCTACGCTTGCAATCAGGGAGTTTGAGCATGGACGTCCAAAGCTCACATCTCGAGAAAGACTAAAGATTAATTCTTGGACACGTATGTATTTATTCATGAAAGCGTCACGCGTTGTGTTACGCGGTGTTAGGTTACGCGAGGAACCATTGACTTAATACATTATACGAAATAGTTTGAGACGGTCAGCATTAGATTCCATCCACCAAAACCGCCTTGGTCGAGAGGGACTGAGATGGAATGATGGACAACTCATGACTTGTTATACTAATTGAAAATTACGAAGCTACGACAACATGCCGACTTATCCCGATGACCTAAGTGTATCATTTGTTTGGGAAATTGCGTCAAAACTTTTTACTCAAGAAATGGTAAGTATTAATTTATTGTTCGATTGTAGTATTATAAAACATTTTACGCAATTTTATGCAGATATTTCACGTATTTAAAAGGTGCCCAGATGTTACGTAGTTTTGGTGGATGTCATTAGGGAACATCCACCAAAACTTTGACCAAAACCATCAACAATATATTTTTTTAATTTTATCTATAGCCACTGTTAGATGTTCAGGGAGACAAAAGATTTATACCACTAATTAGCAGTTAGTGCTCTGGCTAATTATTTTTTATGGTGCACAATTGCTGACCGACCAAACGTTCATAATGATTATCATAACTCTTAACACATAAAATAAAGTGGTTTTGGTGGATGTTTCTCTCCATCCACCAAAACCACCATAGCAATTTCTGCTACTTCCTTACAGAGGACTGTTGTGACCTGCTATTTGGAGTACATAACCGCAATCTATTTCTTTGTATGCAGAGATATTTTGCAAAGTTCTTGAGTCAGCACCTTTTATTATTGAAACCATAAT